AATATTTATATTCATCTTTGGGCGTTAGTATTGTTATGCCCAAAACAGTCAGTACCGAAAGTGTAGAATTATTTTGTGAAAGAATATTGAAAATGAAAAATAACTGTTTTTAATTTGGAAGTTTCACTTACAGCGCGCGCGGCATCCATGCATTGATTTTTTCTGATCGACACTGGGTAAGTTATAGTGACTCGCGTTTATTATTTCTTACACGGAACACTCTCGCTCGGAATCGTTCTCTTACTGGGCGGAAACCGATATCGTTTGGGTCGTTTTAGTGCTTACACGACCGAGCAATAATCTCCTCTTGTATTAGAGCAGGGATTCGCCATATTCGCGAAACGATACCGACAATGTTCTTCGTTTCGCTTTCATGACATTTCATATTTCACGCGTGGCTCGATAGGGTAACATTTCCTTGTTCAATTAGAGGGTGTATCAATTCCAGAGAATGATATCAGTAAGGTTTCCCTTCGCATCATTTGCTTTGCATTTGCGATAGCAGGTAACACTTCTCTTTATCACTGGTCGTTGTACCTGGTAGTTAAAGGGTAAAATACATTCCCAGGCGTCGAAGTCGAAGACTGCATCGTCTCTTCGATAATTACTTAAGGTGGTGTGAAACACATTGTTTACTTCCCAGGTTTTACCTAGCACCTACAAATCCCCGCTACGTACACGATAATATGCGCGAATGACTACATGAATGTTCGATGCATTGATATTCATCTACAATGGACGACCGAGTGAAGGATTTTCGTAATTATCCGCTGTACATATCGTAGACATTTTCGCTGCGCTTATTTAAACCAAGCAAATTATTAGATTTATGAAGTGTTATTATTAATCAGATTATTATTCTTTAATTCAGGATGCAAATGTTGGCTTACGGTGCTGAATCAATGTCGGTAACTGGTGGCTTGAAAAAAGAAATTTAAAGAGAAGGTATATATATCAGGAACTGTAATTCTCTCATGAAATCTGTAAACAGGTACCGTTTCATTTTACGTCTCATTTCATGGCCGTTTCTATGCAGTGCAACGTAGCAGTAATTTCTCACTAAAGTAGACCACGCGTCAATTTTGTAAAATGATTCTAACTAAAGCGTTTCGCTTGATATCTTTTCGTAGATCCACGGAGAGGTTTTACCTAGAACTTAAGCAAGAAATCATTCCCTAACGTAAAACTTGACGATAGCACCTCCTCTTCGACCACCGCTCAAAAACAGAAAGATGAGGATCAAAATACAAGAGGAGCAAAGAACTCGAGGCCCGTTAATCCTGGTTGAAACCTCCGTTCGATGACCAGCTTCGGGACATTACCCTCTATTAGGTGGTAACTGACATTAGGTGTTCCAAAAAAGGTATTCCATGCGTCACCAAGAATGTTCGACCATCAAAACTCAGATATCGAACTTTCCTGAGGAATGGAAGGGCACGCGTGTATGTTTTTTACCGTTTTTCTTAGAAAATTAAGTGACCAATCTTTATTTTTATTTTCTCAAACATTGCCAATTAAATCGCAAATGTAATTTGATGCAGCATAAGTATTCCATGATTTAGAGAAAAATTGTATCGAGGGGGATTCACGATTTGGATTCCTTTCTAGGTCCAGATAGTTGACACAGAAATGTTATCGACGAGCAACTTTTCCAAAACTTTCAATAATCAACGATTACTAAACTTAGGTGGAAAATTCCATTAAATCCTCCCCAAAATTCTTAATATATGGTATACAACGAATCTCATTGTCAGTGAAATGAACGTATGTAAGCAAAATTCTTTCGCATCACTACCCGGATACTTCTGTGCGTAATTCTGAATTCAAGGGACTTGGAATGCATTTCGAAAGTTTGTCAAAATCGATGACCGATCAAGGTAACTGGGAAAAAACAGCCATGTGACTGGGTTAATTTTACCTCTGCTGTTGCGAAGAAGGGATCGTCGTGTAACGTCACCAAAAGCGACATCGATGAAATTAACATTCAAGAAGCGCAAATGAAAATCTAGGTCTCGGAATTGAGCAAGCCACATCTGGCCCACTTTTTGCGAAACGGTACGCTGTCTTTTTGGGCGATTTTTCGGGATCTCGACGAGGAGGGGGGATGATCGATTATTCCCTGCTCGTTGCTTGTAACGCGAAATTTACATGATCTCTCCGCGACGGAAGGACTAAAGCACGTCCGAGCCACCTCGAAGGAAGACTTTACCGAGGTTTTACGGTTTCTTCGTGCACGTAAATGTTATGCAAATCCGCAGAAGCTGCGTTTGCCTGCGCATCTTGCCTTGGGCCACCGATGTGGACTCGCGGTAATTCCACATAGCCGAAGGTATCTTTTATACGATGGATTCTGCATTTTCGAGGCGCACCTTCTATACGAGTACGCAAACAAACCGTGGTGCAATCCGCTTCGACAAGTTCCTAAGATTTATATCGTAAGCAATGTATGCTCAAGGGGATGTTTAAGGCAATTTACCGATGTCTTAGTTTATCCAACATCTTCCAGGTTAAGGGGTTGTTAAACTGATTTTCGAACAAGGGTGAGTATATGAACATATTCGTTTTTCACTATTCGTTGGATTTAGTACATACAAGATGCGATGAGAAAATGTTGCACTCTCTTCTATATACTCGAATGGAAGGTTCATTTTCCTTGAAGGAGAATGAGTTACATAATTTTATAAAATGAAAAACTTTTTATGTCAGTGATTTATCCGTACCGAAAGTAATTCTCCTCTGCGTATTTATTTACCGTTATATAACTGATGCAGAAGTTTTTGCTTACGTCTATATCCAAGTACCAGTGAAGGAGCCTGTATTAATTTTTCTTCTTCGTTGTGGAGATGAGTTTCAAGAGAAGAATGGCGCCTGAGGCCGCGGCGCGGTAATGGCAACCTTGCTCTAGCCTGCAATTAACAACCACGAATAAAAGAGCGCAAGAGTCGGTTAACGTCCTGCAGTTAAACGCGGAAAAAGGAATACATAAGTTGGCGCGTGTCGCATCACTGAATCGCCTCGGCTACTTTTCTAGTTGGCTCTGTGGAAAGCACTGCATAAACTGTTATGCCACGTGGTAATAACTAGGTTTAATAGGTAACTGTTATCTCCTAATCCTTTCTGACTATAGGGTAAAGCTTACGGTTACTCACAATGTAACTCTGCGGTACGTAAGTTGGAAATAAACGGAGCCGCATCACCTACATAATCAATAAGGAAAAATGAACGGTATAAAATTGAAATTCTACAAATTTAAATCATATGCATACCTGTTAAGAAAATGGGTCTCAGGCCCTTCCTTACAGTCTCCATATTTAGTTCGGAGAAAAGTTTCACGAACGAAACCTTTTCGACGCCACTTTCGTATCACCTTAAGGATCGCTAGGAGCCCTGACATTTCGATGATCCCGTGGTTGCGCACGTTAATTTACATTACATTGCTCGGCACTCGTCGATAGTTCCTGATTCTAACTTTCTCCTGTACCAAGCAAAGGAAGAATCTCATTGTTAACCATCCGCCTATAATGAGATGTCATAAGGTGAGATGTTTAACTAACAAGTAGAAATATCTTTTAAATACCACGGAAGGCAGTGCGATCGCGGAATGAATAATTCTTAGTTAACATACTAAAGAATACAATCAAAGAATGATATGACTTCCTTCCGAAAAAATAAATAAATGTATATTTCGTTATATTAAAATTAATTATTTCAGGTGACAAAGTCAAGGGATTTAAATGTGCAGGAGTCGGATTTACGTAAGGCGCGGGTACACCATGAGAATTATATTCCTCCGGGAAACGTAAAAGGTCAAAGTGGTTACAACCGCGCGCAAAGGAAAGTTTAGATTCAGTCGCGATCCTGAGCCGAGGTATAGAAATATCCGACGACGAATATGTAAAAGAAACGCCGGAAGCGACGGCTGCAAAAATTCGCTTTATCCTGCACTCATTAATTAGCGAATTGTGAAACGCCCACTAATTGCCATGTGGGTTACGAATTGCGGGACAAATATAAGAGAGTGCCAATATCGACGGTTCAATGTCACTCCTCGATAGGAATGCGTAGAGAATTCAAATAAACCAGTACCTCGCTGCATACTAATATATTCCGGTATTTATAGGAGAGGTAGTTCGACATCTATCAATTACGATAATGAGCAATTTACAAATGATTATATCATGAGTAACATGGAATAAATTTGTACGCATCTTAAGTTTTCAATTATCAGGAAGTACTTTAGATTTCCAACATTTCGATTCCTTCCTCCTAGCAGCCTCACGTAATCAAATCCTTTTACATTCGGTTACTATATCACGCATCAAACTATGGCGCCATCTTACAAGCGTGGGGAAAATTAGTTTCCACTCTCTGGATACATGATTTCTTTTTTCACTACTCTGCTGGTATTGCAAATTGCACATTTAATAACATCACGTAACTGCACTCGATTGATTCAATACACCATTAGGGGTGATAAATGTAATGTATCGAATTATGGGATCCCCAAGTGAACGGCAACCAGTAGTTGCAGAGATAAGTTGCAAGATAGCTCACGAACAGGATCGCGTCCTGTGCTGATCTCTGTCAATCTCTGCGGAGAATACGGGCGACTCGCGCATTTGCCACCTAACAGCCGCTAGTGGCGCCCCAACTTAGGGATTCAACTCATCTTTGCCGCCAACTCATTTCTGGGGGTCTATTACGTAAAATGATAAAAAAACTCACGTGAGATGAAAGTACGAGAAGTGAGCGCTCTCGTCAAAAATACGTAATAAATGCACTGATCGTGAATTAAGTCGCCATTGGGGGGAGGGGGTTGTTAAGTGCATGAGCCGCCTGCATTCTCTACCGAGGGCAGCACAGAATGTGATCGCGCGACTCTGCCGTGAACAATCTCGCAACTCATCTCCGTACACAATCTGTGCCAAATTAAGGAAAAGCGCCCAAATCAGCCGCTTGAGGACCCTGCCTTAACGATTCGTTTAACGACCGTTGATTGTTTCATTTCTGAACGCGTTTGTGGGGTTTGGTTTGGACCACGTTTGGGCATCGGAGTAAAGTATTGTCAAGGAGGGTTCGCTGGTGTTTGTCGGTGTCGGATTGAGTTTCGTTAGCGGATTTTGTGAGAGTGACCACCTTGCGCACCTGCTCGCTGCAATATCCCGGCTGTTACACCCGTCTGGTCGACCATGTCCCGAACCTGCGTGAATTCGCCTGAACCTGCGCAAACCTGCGTCCAGCCAAAGTAGAAGCGAGTAATGGAGTAACGCTTAGTTTTTGTAGATTTTAACGAACGCGTGTCGGGATCGACGCTGAGTGTTAAAGAAGCCTCGAATAAGACATGAGAATGGCGAAAACGAGAAATCGGAGTGTTCGACGCGTTTCAATTGCGAGCTCTTTTGGTCTATTGTTGGACAAGAATTGACCTCATATCAAAGAAGGAAAGGATGAGAGGAACACAATTATTACCAATGCGCCTGCTTCGGAGACAAGTGCTTCGCGTTGTCAGTTCTTGCTTCTTTATCAGTTGGTCGCAGAGCGAAGATATCGATGTTGCATTTTGGCTTTCATGCGATGCAACTCCACGATTCGATATAAATTCGTGAAACCAACAATTTGCATTTTATGGATAAAAATGATGAGATTAACTGGACCATGACAACCAAAAAGATTGCAAGGACATTTCAACGACTTTGTAATTCTTGGTGTTGAGAATCCTTTTTTATATACATTTCATCTAGAGTATTAATCAAGGATAAAGGATACGTGCTCAAAGAGCAAGGTTCATTATGGACGAAGGCATGCTGGATGATTTGTTGGAATGCTCGGTCTGCCTCGAGAGATTAGATACTTCTAGCAAAGTTTTACCATGCCAACATACTTTTTGCAAAAAATGTCTGGAAGACATAGCAAATACACATCGCGAGTTACGATGCCCAGAGTGTCGGATCCTGGTTGAAGTAAAGATCGATGACTTGCCACCTAATGTTTTATTGATGCGCATTTTGGAGGGCATGCGTAATGCTGGACCTAGGAATGGAAAGAATTCTACACGCACGAATGCTACTCCTAGGCGACCTTTCGCAGGCCACCAGGTCGCCCCTGTACCTATCAATACTTCCATTGCCCCTATTGTAGCTCCCGATTCTACTGTCAGACATGCAGATTCTTCTGCTAAACTTACCCGATCACATCCTCAGCCGTACGGGCGAGCCATTTACGATTATGTCTCTAAAGTTCCAGGGTTAGTTTGCATTTATTAATGTTTATTTCTGAAAAATTATTAAGAGAAATAATGATTAATCATTATTTTATAAGTTACCATATGATTCATGATACTTAAAGCTTGAGTGTTTTTTTAATAGCGAAATGTTTTAAAGAAGTATTCTGTATTTTTATTTAATCAATTTTTTAAGAAACTAACAATTATATATCTGAAATAAACTCTGTTATAGGGATTTAAACTTCAGAAAGGGAGACATTATTACGCTAAGAAAGAAAATTGATAACAATTGGTACTTTGGAGAGTCTAGCAGCAGTCATGGTGTCTTTCCATTATCTTACATTCAGGTATTCCACAGAGTAGTCCACAGATATGTAGAAACTACGTTTTTTTTAGTAATCCAAAATTATTGAAGATTGAACAATATTTAACCAATAACAAAGAAATCTGATGCGTGTGTATATTCTAATTTTAAATCTTCTACAGGTGGTAACGCCATTGCCACCTCATATTCCTCAGTGCAAAGCTTTATACGACTTCCGAATGACCAACGATGAAGAAGAAGGTTGTCTGACTTTTAACAAGGTTATTATAAAGACTACATTTCATAAATAGTGAATAGAATATAGTATATGTTTAAATAATAATTAATATTTCAGGGTGAGGTTATCAGTGTAATTAGACGAGTGGATGAAAATTGGGCAGAGGGAAAATTGCTGGACCGAATTGGTATTTTCCCTCTGGCATTTGTAGAACTGAATGGTGTAGCTAGAGCTCTTATGAAGCTGTCTGCAAAGTGAGTTATAGTATTTAAATGTACAGAATGCCAGTAATTTGTCACGTTTATATTTACTAGCTTATTTGCGCACTTTTCTCTTTCAATTATTCAATGAATATCTGAGTCTTTTTTATCCAGAGCAAATATGCTAACCCCTAACTATAAAATCATTTATGTGTAGCGCACAACCAGGCCCATCCAGAGTGGCTCCACCAACTCCTACTAACGAAGAAACAACACCGTTGATACCAACTGACCATTCGCGAAACGTACAAACTACAAGCCATCCTCGTCCTCAACCAGCACCCGTATGAAACATTTGTTATTAATATTTTTCTTATACAGCGTTTTATTTATCAATTAAAAATCTTTTCAGACCTCCACACTGCCAGTGTCAGACTCAAACTCCACCCTTTCCTCTGGAGGTAGTTCTACGACAACAACCACACCAAATACTCCAAATAGTTCGAGCACATCTAGCAGCTCAAGCACGGCTCCAAGCAGCCCTGGTAGCCCAGCTACTTCTCCGATGGCAGTAGGCACAAGGCAAAGCGTCAAACGCCACAGTTTCACTGCCAACACAAGGCATCATTCTCATTCACACTCTCACCACAGACACAGTGCGGAGATACTTAGTCCTGCAGTGGACGCTCTAATAGCTGGGAACGGTTCAACTAATGGCAACGGAACTGGAAATGGCGCTGGCTCCAATGAACATTTTGCTTTGGCGGTTTTGGTATGTCTCCGTGTCTCCACATCGTTTTAAAATATTCTAAACTGGTGTAAAATAATTAGAATCGTTTAATTACTATTAATTCGAACCAATGATTGTATTACAAGGTTTATTAACAAAAATGTTTAATATCCAAATTATCATTTCTTGCAGACGAGCCCTGACCCTACGGAGTACAGTCTTCGCCATCGCCGCAGTGGAAGTAGCGACCAGGTCCTCGCCCAAAGTCTTTCGACAAGTGTAGTCAACACTGCGAGCACTACCTCCAACAGTTGCCACTTGCCCGCAGCGTACATAGCCTTGTATCCGTACAAACCTCAAAAAGCTGATGAGTTAGAGCTTAGAAAAGGCGGCATTTATATGGTCACCGAACGTTGTCAAGATGGCTGGTTCAAGGGAACGTCGAATCGTACCCAAAAGTGTGGAGTCTTTCCAGGCAACTATGTCACACCTGCGAAGTAAGTGTATCGCTGCATAACTTCCATAACTTCCTCCAGTTTCAACTGTTTCTACATATTCCAGAACTTGTACAAATTTATCTTCTTCCTTACCGAAATACCTTCTTTAATAGCATACGAGGGTGATAGAGCTACGTAATTAATTGATATCTTAGAAATGACGAAAAAAGATACAACCTTATAAGTATGAAATAAGTGCCCTTACACTTAATTCTGTAGCCAAGATGGTCAGAGAAAATAATGTGAATTTTAGTTTTTATTTCATAATTTTGTGATACAAATACTGAGGATTATCACATGAGAGATGACTGTAGAAATAACGTTGCCAACAGATGCCAACGCGGTGCCTGTCGTACAGCTTCGAGTGGCTCGGTACCGTCCCAACAGGGTGCCGCCCTGGCTTCCGTACAAGTGAGCGCCGGTGAACGATTACACGCCTCTTGTACAAGGACAAATAAGAGCGGCCCTTCTTTGCAGCAACCGTTCAATTTACACTCCCTGCCACCGCCGGAATTACCCCCGCGGTCTGCCAGTCCTAGCCCCGTGTCTTCGTCGACCTGGCTAAATAAGAGCCAGTCTCCACCCCGAGGTGGCGAGCAATCAATGAACGCTACCGGCACGACCCCCACCACATCCAGCAGTGCCGCCACTACTGTGATTGGACGAACCCATGCGACAGTGTCGCCGCCTACTGTCGGTACGTACACGTAAAAGGTTTCTTACCGTGAATGTCAGTTCCCAGAGTGGATCGCCAAGTAATTCAACGCAAAAAGAGAGTTAGCTTTTAAGAATACCACAAAAGACAGTATTACGATGTAAGATATTGGTTTCAGCAGCGTCGCCAGGTAGTCAAGCAGCAGTAGCTCCTATTTTGCCATCAACTCCTGATGTTCATCGTGAACCAAGTCGAAGTCCGAGCAGCACTGCTCGCATGTCCTCCAACGCGCCCATGTCTCTCCCGACCGCGTCTACCGTTGCACCATTAATTAATGTGAGAAGCGCTGAAAAGGTACATCATTTATGTACAAATAATTGCCAATCGAATGTCGTACATCTGCGAAGGTAGTTCAGATAATACTGACATGATATTTTGTTACCTTGTTACATAAGCTTACTGCATTTGAGGAAACTCACGGATGACTAATTATAGATTCTTATGTATATTGGTGATCGGAGGATTGGTGTGAACCACCTATCCGAAAAATGATTAAAACATATTCGTTTTCGTCAGCCGAAAGAGAAGAAGGACCACAAGGGCGTTTCCTTGATGCGGCGTTTGACGAACATCAAGAAATCCAAATCACCTCCTCCGGCCACGTACTCCATGGATAATCCTGTGTTTGACGATGGGAACTCTATCGGCACCTCCAATCCAGTACACATGCGGTAAGATGAGCATTAGCTTATAATATTTTGATGTAAGCTTCTACCGTCTCGTTGTTTAATTTTGTATGTAGCATTCGAGAGGTTTGTAAATGCAACGCAAGGCGTGCATGTATAATAAATGGTAGTTGATCTGCATGTCTGGCAGCATGTTTTTATTTTCCAACGGCATGCATCGCGACACGCTCTTTGGCACGTCCCGCTTTGTCATTATTATTTAAATAGTATTAGGGGTACCCATAAGTAATAAATTATTTTGAACGAGGTGTTTTAGACGTCAAAAAAATTGATTACTTATGGGTACCCCTAACATAAACACTTTAACATTGCAATCGTTTCGATGCCATCAACAACCGGCTGCCGCGGTTTTCTCATTTTTCAGTTTTCTATGGATAGACATTATCTGGTGACTTTTTTTCGATATGAAAAAGTGGAAAAACAATGTTCCTTCGTTAGTGGTATGGCGATAAACGCAGGTAAAACATGTTCATATTTAACGCAAAGAAATTACGTATTAAAAAATTGTCGACGAAAACCCAATACATAGTCGAAGCAGAAATTAATCCGATTGAATTTGATTTAATTGAAATGAGTGGTACTACGAATTCAAAGTAAGGATTAGACAAATATCACTGAGTCGCAGTCCATGTCGTTCGAAATCTTTGGACGATGTCGGTTTCCGATGATTTGAGGGTCCGGTGCATCAATGAACTAATAATCGGGGTTTGGGACCGACAAGGTCGGGGTCTTGCCCCAGCCAGTTGCTACAGATGGGGCCTGCGCAAGAAATAAATAATCCGGTGCACAACCAACAACGATTGCACCTAGGATCCGGTCAAGGACTCACACATGCCGTCATTTCTGAGAGGGCTAAACAAAAGGAGAAATACTCCCTGCCTGTCTCCCAATGTGTTTTTACGCAGAGGTTAGTCGTCGTTCATACGAGTTCTATCGACTTTATGCCTAAATACTTATAATCTTTTTCTCTGAAATGTCTGTAAGCCTTTTACAAATGGCAGCCTCGTTGCATTCTTTTTCTTCTCTTTAAATGTCGAAGAACTTCGATTTCAGATGAAATCAGGTGTTACATCGTTCTCAACCATTAAGGAAAAAATAATAGAAAAGGAAAATGTAAGATCGTCATTTAACTGGTTGCGTTATCGAGCGATGTTTCTGCATTTCGCTTTTCATAAGTGTAATTTGCCTGCAATTCGTCATTTTCTTCCTCGATGAGTGGAACTAATAATTATTTTCGTTTAGAAATCTATAGATCGCATTGCCCGTTCGTTCGTAAATTTTTTAACCGTTGAAAGTTGATATTTAATTTTTATTTCGTCCAACTAAATGCGCATACATTAATGAATCATTTCCCTATATCTGTGCGTCCCTTTGAGAAATATTATCTAAGATCACATTTTAAAGAATTGATCCTTTAGCCCATATTCACATTTAATCCAGGAAAGAAACATTACCTGGCGCACATTTCTTACTGCCTGCAATTAGAATTATATTTGCACTGCAATACCGCACGGAGTTGTTACCTTGTTTGACACAAAAAAAAAATCCTCTAATTTGTAAGTATCGCCTAATGTTATCGCGTCACCGCACAAATGATTTACAAATTTTCCTCTCATTTGTTTGGGAATCGGTCGAACATAAAGCTTCAAGGTCGTTACATTGATTTTGGTATTTATATCACATACAACAGGAAGTTGCAACGTATTAGCCATACACCGTATTGTAAATAGGACTCTAATTCCTCTTCAATTCTGAGAAACTTAAAATACGTTGAAACTGTCGTTAAACGATCACTAACGTACATTAAAAATGAATAATCCTGTATCGACACTCAATCCTTTTGTCATAAAATGACATTTCTGCAACACCCGTGACCGAAGTGAAATTTCCGACATTGCGTTGTCGCAAATATAAAATTCTTCTCGATTAGCTCAGCTAATTTGGTTTAACATAGAACGATTAATTCGTGCAGGCCTGGAGATCCGACAACGGCGACAAACCCGACCGGCAGTAGTCATCATCGCAAGAGCAACTCTTTAGACGCTGGAATGGGAAAGCACATAAAGCAGCACCAATTTTCATCGAGAGAAAGGTAAAGATTTACGAGACTACCTACTTAAATTGCTCTTATTATAGTTTCCATAAAATTTCCATGCATTTCATGGGAATCTCGAAACCTTGGGTTAAGTTCGATTTGTTAGTTGCAGAAAGAAATCTTGTTTATCTTCCAGGGAACGCGTATACAGATTTCGTTGTATCGTCCCATATCCTCCGAACAGCGAGTTCGAATTGGAGCTGCGCGTCGGAGACATAATCTACGTACACAAGAAACGCGACGACGGTTGGTATAAAGGCACGCAGGAACGCACAGGTCGTACCGGTCTCTTTCCGGCCAGCTTCGTCGAAGCCTTTTGAGATTCAACCAGCGCTCGATTCCTATTGGAGACCTGCATTTAAATCGTTCGCGGTGAGCCGATCGACAATTCCACACCGCGGTAAAAGGATAGATGCAAAATGTGGTCCCTGTGTACGGCGTAACCGTGCAGTGGCACGCGACGTATGGTACACAGGAAGAGGGCCAAATCGAGCAAATTTCGTTGCGCGTATTCTATGTACGTGCCTTTTTTATAGCTGTAGCCGAGAGGTTGTCACCATTAGCCATATCGCGGCGTTTATCGAGACTATAGACGACGAATCGTTCGAGGACGCGGGATGGCGATTGAAATCGACTCAGTGAAGAAACTCTTCCGCGCGATGATGACACCTAGTGGAAGATGTTTCGCGAGAAATTCACGTTCGTAAAAAAGTGAACTTGCTTCCCGTCCGCGTGTAAACCTTATTCCGATGTCTAAGATAGAAAACGCGTATAGACTAGAGGCATACAATTCCCCTTTTTGGAGGTGGTTGCGAAAGACACTCGGAAAAGCGTCCCTTGCGGTGACTTTTACCATTGATCGGTGATCGTGCTCGATGCGTCACTGTTGAACATTATCAGTCGAGAGGATGGAGAAAGTGACGTCGCTAGGGTATAAGTTTTTCTTTTAACTCCACTTCCAAGGAAGGGACTCGAAGCCCGTTGCCGTATGTATGTATGCATGTATGTACGTATGTGAGCGTGATTGTGCGCAATTCGATGTACTCGAGGTGACTAGGTAATAAGCTTAATTCGGAATCGTCTGTACTGCCATTAACCCCTTACCGAGTGTGCGGAGACGAAGGCGAGGCGTATATCGTGAATATTATCCGTCGCGTTTATGTGCATGTACACTAGTGATATCGCAACTATCGCATTTATATAATTGACATTCGATCGATCGTCGGAGCTCGGGACATCACTTCGCGTCAAAATACTTTTCGAGCAGTCCAAAACACCCTGTCCTCTTCGGGGGAATACAAACGTACCATGCCGCTCCAAATCGTGCCTTCGATATTGCCAGGAAAATTCGCGGTAAATAGCGACACCAGGAGTGTCTTCGGAAAGAACGGTTGGGCTGGTTTGAAACGGCGTTCAATCTTTATTAGCGTTGTACGAAATCGATTCGAGAACTCGTTATTTCCGAATGCATCTCGACTGGTCTCTCGTGCACGAAACGCATCGCCACGATGTCATGTCCCGTGCCTTTAAACCCTGCTTCGAAAAGAATGGAAACCATTAACGTGTAGCGACCATTTTCTTTACTAGCTGTTTACATATATTATACACGGTGTAAAACTGCTAATTGGTGTTTAAGAAGTCATTAAAGTGTACTTTGTTTTTCGTCCGCGGAAGTCGTTTACCGAACGCCTGACGATGCGACGAGCTTGGTCTTAAATATTTAATAAACTAGTGAATAATTATGCTACAAGCAATGCAATGACGCGCAATACTTTTCTCCGTCGACTGGCACTGCGATTATTTACCTGTATGAAGTACAACATTGTATACGGTTAGTTAGAATCGTTTCTTATACGTTTTCTCGAATTCTGTAACCTGCGAACTTTGCGTCGTCGAGGTAATCTGTGACGTCAGTTTTAATATTACGTAATTTCACTTTTCTTCTCTTCGTAGCATATGACTATTTATTTTAAATAACATAGGGTATATTGAAATGAAACATGCCAGTAATCTGCCAATTTTAGTACCAACCCTTATGTATCGTAATTGTGTAACAATATGTGCGACCATATGTTTAATAACGAATTTGTTCATTTTTTTTTTTTAATTACGTTTTAGAGAATGATTTGCCGATCCTCAGCTTTAGTGATTTAATAATGAGGAAATCTCTAATAGCATACCATTTTTTTAGCTTTGAGACAATTATGTATGTACACATCAATCAATGACTGCACGACATACGATAATGGGAGAGAATGCATACTAAACTCTAATAACACAGGAACTATGAACATAGGGCATGATAAACCCTGCACATTATTTTAACAATAATGGCAGTAGTACAGTAAGAAAATTGGGACTTTTTCATTTTATTTGCCTCTTTTTACATAAACTGATTGTGTAAGCCAATATGACGACAACCTACCGAACTGAAAGAGAAAGAGAATGGCCGCTCTGTTCTTCCTGTCTTCATACAAACATGTAGATATTTATACATACTACCTTAAATTGGTGTTATAATTACTAATGATGAGCATTGCATAAACACAAATAGTTATAAATCCGGTGTAAGTTAGCACGTGTAAATGTATTCAAAGGTATTACGGTCGCCGCCTTAGAGCTTACAGAATGGAGGAGACATTGCTATAATATGTGCGTACGGTTAGGTGCATTGACGTAAGAATATATGGACGGAGCTCAAAGCTTAATCTCAAATCAAGGGTGCAAGCCTGCGCACTTGAAAAAAAAAGGGTCGGTGGCCATGTTGGTCAGCCAATTTTCAGCCTTCTGATAGGTTATCTGCTTCATATTTCCTATTTGCTCTCACGTATTTATTTATGCCATTCCTCTACATAAAACATAATTTTTCACTTCTAGATACTACAAGTTGACATATTTTGTTCACTTTTTATCTATTGACAGTTCGTACCGTTCTTTACTCGCTACTCTTAAATTGACCACTAAATCTCAACCAATCAGAAAGTGAAGATTTTGGATGACCAACATGGCTACCATCCCGTTGTTCCAACCTGTTCCCCCTTACTCGCTTGACCACTCGCCGCCTTGATTTGAACTTCTTACAATGTAAATCTGGTATAAGGTATGTTCATACAAGAACAAGTGGCAGCTATTCCTTTTAACTTTCCCGCGTCTTTTAAGTGAATATAAAAACAATTTGAAAAAGAGGAACTTCTTTTTGCAATTTTTGATGTCCTGTAAAACAATGAATATCACAATTTTATGATTCTCATAGTCCTCCCGTCTGAAATCTAATTTTATGCTCCATCTCTATATTCCTAGATTTATAATTCTTGCTTATTTTTCCCCCGAATATAATGTTAAAAATACGTGGTTCATGTACTGATTCTTGGTACTGACGCCGAAAGTATTGAGCCAAAATGCACCTGAACTGGAGACACACGTCTAAATATTGAATGATTCGATTAAAACATCGCTTAACATAAATGCATACGATATAGTTTGAAAATTAAATCGAGGTTAATCGGTAAGTGTAAATTTAATTGAGTGTATACGTTCCAACGACCTTTCGTATTTTGGATTCAAGGAAACCCATCATAACGTATCGACGTAAAAAAAATGATGTATCAGAGATGACAGAAGGTCATGCCGGCACGAAATCTAAACTGGACATTCAGCAAGATCGTGTATATGTATTTACTTGCACGTACGTCAAGGGGAGAAATTTCCCGCGCGGATGATTTTTCGACGCATGCGCAGAGACGCGTCGACACATTTAAACTTCCACCTATATTAAATGGCAGGGATGTAACATTTTCAGATTCTTACTGGAATTTATTAGGTCGACGATGATCTTGTTAATCATTGTACCAATCTGATCATATATTCAATTAAAAATGAAATATGAGAACTGCAATAAGAGGTATGTGAGCTATTTACTGATAAATCATTGTTTAGTTAATTTAATAATTTCTGTTCTTTCATTCGGGCTCTACACAACGTCCTAAAATATTTACCATGTACGCTACTGGTCGGCGGCGCGCGGCACTTCGTGAAGAACTTGGAAAGGTGGCTTCAAAAGATTCCTCGCATTTAGTACAATTTGGTTAACCGGTGACGACTTAAGTCGGCCTAACCGATAGCCATTATTCCTTAACGGATAAGTATTTATAATAATTTCTCGTAAACCGAACGTAAATCTAGTAAAAGTTAATCGTCATGGCGACAATGGACAACATTTCTGAAGAAATTAAAGGTAACATTTTAATTTAGTCTGAAACTTTAATCCAGAGTAACGTGGACGATTCTACACGTGCAAAGCACTTTGTTAACTTGAGAGCAAATGAACATAAAAAATTCTTTATATTCTTTTATTAAGTTAATATGCTACAGAATATATTCTCAGTAAAGTATTTGTATTTTATAAACGGAGATATTTGTCATTATTAATTAATAAATGATACAATGGTTTAGGAATACGTTGGTGCAATTGAGAAATCGTTTTTCAATGTGACCAAATCTTGAATAAGTGAAAATAATAGAATGAATGGTTATTTAATATAAGGAATGTATTCTGTAAAATACGAATATTTAACTATTCATTTAAATCCGATTACACCTGATTTTTATATATCGTGTTTATTGTATTTGTAATAAAGGATCTAAACCCTTTACGGTCGTATGTCTACTCTCAGCAACCAAAACACCTGTGTATAAATTTAATACGACCGCAAAGGGTTAAATATTTAAATATGATATTATATTGTAATTTGTATACATCATACGAACATTAATACCGTGATGTTAATTTTTATGTTTATCAAAGGATACCGTTTAATTTGTTTCATTAATTTACAGAAAATGTGCATCCAACAAACATAACAGGGAACAGTATAGGCAAGGATGTGAAATTTGCAAGTATTACTCATGTTGAATCAATATCGGAGAAAAAACGGAAACGTAATGTAATCGAGGATGCCAACGAGAGAAGGAAACGCCTTGAGAAGGAAGATCAAGAACGCAATTTGCGGGAACAACGTTATAAACACTTACTCCAATTGCTTGATCGTAGTCAAATTTATTCAAAATACCTTATTAACAAGATTGAAACATCAATTCAAAGTGGAGAAAACAAAAAGAAAAATAAAAATATAACAAAAACTCCAGATAAACCAATTTCAAAAACACCACCAAAAAAAGTAAGTATTGCAAATTCAAATCATGTATGCTCACACAATTAGTAATTTACTAATTTGTTGTGTATAAGTTACATCTATTCATATATATATTATATGTAAAGGGACATTCAGAGGGTACCAGATCTCCAAGAAAAGCTTTAAGTCCAAAAATGATAGAAGAAGAATTAAATAGAGACAATGAACCTGAAACCACTTATTCAGATGAAAATGAGAAAAACATAAGACTGAAATATTTTGAAGGGAAGTTACGAGATTATCAAAGGGAAGGACTGCAGTGGCTTATCGTGCTCTATGAAAATGGTTTGAATGGCATTTTAGCTGATGAAATGGGCCTCGGTAAAACAATACAAATTATAGCTCTGATATCTCACCTTCTTGAGAAAAAGCAAGAAGGTCCTTTCCTAATAGTTGTTCCACTCTCAACATTACCAAATTGGACATCTGAATTTAAACGGTTTGCACCAAAAGTGCCAGTAGTAGTATTTTATGGAAACAAACAAGAAAAACTGGCATTACGTCAATCAGTTAAACAAAAAGTTCATGTTGATGGTAATTTTAAGACGCAACCTGTTGTATTAACAACGTATGAAACGCCTTTGTCGGATCAATACTTACATACTCTGAAATGGAGATATATAATTGTTGATGAAGCACAACGAATAAAAAACCATGAGTGTTTGTTAATTGCGTAAGTATGCACTTTGATTCAGTATTTTTTATTGTACCAATAAGGCTCTCTCTACCTTATTTCAATTTTAAGTGAATTTATTTTATCATAAACATTTTTTTTTAGCAAACGAATCTACAAAATTAGTCTTTTAGTTATAGTTATTAATTATTACATGTTTTGTAACTGCCTAAATTCAAACCATAACGGCACTTGTAAATATTTTAAATATTGTTTTTCACAGAACGCTGAAATCATTCCAGTCAATGAATCGGTTACTGATAACAGGAACACCTCTTCAGAACAACTTATCAGAGTTATGGTCACTTTTAAATTTTTTGTTACCTGATATTTTTAATAATTTGGCTGTATTTGAATCATGGTTTGATCCGATAGAATTACAGCAAGATATTGGAACTGAAAAATTACTTAAACAAGAAGAAGAACAACACATTATACAGTTTCTACGTGAAATTTTAAAACCCTTTATGTTAAGACGAACAAAACTGGATGTTTGTTTGGATATACCACCAAAGAAAGTGCTCATAGTTTATGCACCAATTACCGAGTTACAACGTGAATTGTATACCGCTGTTTTACAGCGTGACATGGATTCTCTAAGTATGATAAACGTAAAGCCTCCTGAAGTGAACATAAATTCTGAACGACCCAAAAGACAATGCAGACTAAAAAACAAATACAGTTCTGATTATGTCGATCCCTTTAGTGATACTCCTTCCAATTCATCATCAGAATCGATAAATTTTACAGAATATGACACAAGTGCAGAGACCTGGAAAAATAATCTAGACGACAAAAATAATTTGGCTGCCTGGAAAAATTTTGCTAATATTACGGAACGCAATTATCAATTCTTCATTCGAATTCAGTTTCGTAATCGATGTAAGTTGAACGTATTTATCAATATTTGTGCATTTTAAGTCATAAAATCACTATGATTTTCACCTTTAATAGTGGCTAAATATTTTGCTCACTTAAAAAAAACGTTTCTCACCGGTATGTAAAGTATTACATATATATTAACAAAAGATTTACGGTAACATAAAGAAGAACGAAATTTTATGATAGAGATTTATTTTGTTTCCTTACATATTTGAGTCTTTCAAATTTCATTGTTACTATTTCATTTTTCACGATTTCCTTACAGTACCAATGTATAAAAAAATTGTGAATCACCCCTTTTTGGTTCATTGTCCTCTTGATGCAAGTGGTTTGCCGAAAATTGACGAAGAATTGGTTAAAGCATCTGGAAAACTGTTGGTGCTGGATGCCATGCTGGCAAAACTGCATTCACGCGGTCATAAAGTTCTTTTATTTTCAACCATGACAACATTATTAGACATATTAGAAGACTATCTTGAACTAAGACCTTACCAATATGTTAGACTGGATGGCACCGTCAGCATGAAAGACAGGGAAAACAGAATAGATATTTTTAATAATGACCCAAGCGTGTTCCTCTTTTTGATCTCCACAAGAGCTGGAGGTGTTGGCTTAAATTTAACCGGAGCCGATACGGTCGTTATGTATGATAGTGATTGGGTAAGTCCAGCACGTAGCATTATTTATATTTTTAGTTTGGTCTGCTGCCTTAGAATAAAACATTGAGATAATTAGATGCAGATGAGATATAACATAACATTTATCTTTTTTTGTTCTAAAATACAGAACCCTCAAATTGACATACAAGCAATGGCTAGATGCCACAGAATAGGGCAAACACGACCTGTGGTTGTTTATAGGCTGTGCACGAAAGGAACAATTGATGAGATAATCCTTAATCGAGCAGAAGGTAAACGTAAACTGGAAAAAGTCGTTATATCGGAGCGAATAAAAGCGTCAACTAAAGAAGATCTTTGGGAATTAAAGACACTCTTAGACTCCAGTGATTTCCAAGTTGTTAAATCAGTTAATGATGGTAAGCCATTTATTAAAACACCTAGAAAATATATTTCATTCAACTAATATTTTTTTTTTTCACTTTTAAGTAAGTTACAACTTGATCAATTTTCATAAATAATTCTTGTTTGTTCTTTTGAACAGTGTATACCGAAGAGGAGCTTGACAAAATTTTGGACAGAACTGATTTAATCGAGAAAGTCTCAGTCAAAACAGAATGAAAATAATGTAAAAATTCTGTTAGACAAAAGCTGATATTGATTAGAATGAAGGTTTAGTAGTTTTAATTTATTTTATATCAATGACCGTTCCCAGTACTAAAAGTGTTTAATTCCGTGAGAATTGTCTATAAATTACAGTATTAATTTATTATAATAAATGCGTGTATTATGTATTTTTTTAATAATGTACCAATGAGCATTCCTAAAATACAAAATTATGTGTTAATGATGTAAAACGTGTTTATTTTAATTTTTCTTGTACTTATTCAATTTGAGTAAGCGTACGACATTAAATTGATTTGAAACTGAAATTAAGTAAGTCAGAAGCTCCTGCTGTAATTAGTGAAATCGACTAAAAAAACACGCCTATTCAATTCGAGCCACTTATAGAGGGTTATCTCTAGTTATTGACATAAGTCTATGTTCAAACTTGTTTTTAAAATTGTTATTGGATACATTTTTACCAAAAAATGACTGTCGCTTTTACCTAAAAGTGACTATGTCTAAAATATTGCATCTCCCTTTTGGACCGCTTTTAACTAGATATGCTATCAAAAATCATGTCAACTAAGACACACTTGTCACTGTTTGTCCCACTGAGCACGTTAGGGTAAAGTGAAGCATGTTGAAAAACTTAATAACTTGTTCTGTGGCAAACTCCAAGAATAATGTTTACTGGACAAATATTTAATATAATTAAAAAGGATTTTAATCAAGTATGGTCATAAGGCACGTTGTACACTGATAGAACATTCTTCGTCACAATGTGCGGAGCCTGAGGAAATTTATCAGCCAAAGTATGTTCATGAATTCAGCAAACTCGAATGGTGTTTTTACCGACCAAAATCACAATGCCGTTATCTTGCAAGTACTTCAGTGCCTCTTCAAACATGTCTCTGGTCACCAGCTGTAGGCAAAGGAATTATTAGTGGGATTATCTTGTAGTAAACATTTAAATAAAATGAATTACTTACGATTGACGAGTTTTCTTTGATTTCTGTAAAGACCTTCTGGTAATTCAAGGAGACTTTTCCTTTTGATACAATGACTTTTTTTACACTTTCGGCAAGTTCTAATTTTCGTTTTCTGCCAGCTGCAGACATACCGGTAGTTAATATACCGATGTCGATTTTGCCACTTAGAGGATCAGTGGCGGATTGTTTCAAGGCTTCTCGATGTAACCTGAACATGAAAAAAATATTCCAAGTTTGGAGAGTGAGAACAAAGTTCAAAGTATTAACATTTAACTCTAATCGGTGACTTACCTCCATGCCTCCTCAACGTCTACCATTTCGACGACAGGGCTGAAACGAATTTTGGCATGGGCTTCGGATAACCGAATGAGTGACTCCAGCTGTCTAGGGTACGCCGTGATTTGCCCTCTGCCACTTCCAACTCTTCTCATATCGACATAGGCTTGGATCAACTTCTGTTGAGACTCTTCGCTTAAAGTAGGTTGTATGTGTTCTTTAGCATAGGCTATATAATCTCGCAAAATACTCAAATCAAAGATTTCATCTTCAGCGTCAGGAGCACTTTTATAGTACAGAGAAACTAAATGTTTAGCAAGCCTTCTATCGAAGAGTTCATCCTGAGGGTCCAGCATCAGGAAAATCAAGTCAAAACGAGATATTAGAGTATGTGGCAGCATTACGTTTTCAATCACCTGAAAGTAAATGATTTCTCCGAGTTAAGCCTAAAGCAAGTAGTAAATTCAATAAAATATTAATTCACTGGCGGAAATTTACCGTCTTATTTTTATTCCACTGGGATTCGCAAGGATTAGCAGCGGCAAGAATACTAGTCCTTGCGTTCAATTGGCAGACAATACCCGCCTTGGCTATGCTTAAAGTTTGCTGCTCCATCACCTCATGGAGTACCGACCTAGTGGAATCATTCATCTTGTCGAACTCGTCAATGCAACAAATGCCATTATCAGCGAGGACCAATGCACCCGTTTGTAGAACGAGTTGTCTGGTTTCAGGGTCCTTGCTAACGTAAGCTGTTAAACCGACTGCACTAGATCCTAAGAATTAAAAATAATTCGATTAAAATATATTAATGCACCGAAGAACCTAAAGCAAGGAACTTAAGGTACGAGATTATACATAAGATTTACCTTTGCCGCTGGTATACTGTGATCTTGGAACCAAGTGATAGACAAACTGCAATAATTGGGACTTGCTGGTACCAGGGTCACCACAGAGTAGTATGTTGATTTCTGAACGATAGTGAGCTCTACCAGAAGAGGTATGAGTTTTTTTTGTGCCACCGAACAGTTGCAGCAGAATTCCCTTTTTGATATCCTCGTTTTCGTAGATGCTTGGCGCTAGATTTCGAGCTAATCTGTCGTAAACATCTTCCTTCTGCGATAGAAATTTTAGCAGTTCCACTCGTTCGGGAGGAAACGCATGGTCCTTGCCTTCTTCCTGTTCATACAGCCTGCAATGAAATTAAATGTGAATCTAGCACCTTTAGCACATTATTATAAAGATGAGTAATTACAAACTTACCTCTTTGAGTCTTGTTTCCTGAAGTGTACTACGTCAATGTGAGTCCTGTATACAGCTCGTACAGTAGACTGTCTTGGATTGACCTGTATGGGCACTGCACGGTAAATTCCAGTCACGTAAACCCTGTCACCCGGTAAGATGGAATCGACCAAATCATTGTAGGCGAAAGCAATTACTGTATGAGGAGTTTGTCCAGCAGGCATATCATCTGGTGACTCTTGCAGTTTTATCATCTGCTTATCCGAAAAGTGACTACGGTTATGAACCAAAGTAAAGCAGTAAGTATTGTTGCAATGAGTACAAAGAGTGGGTTCTAAAATCCGGCCTCGGTCGATCTCAACAGAAGTTGTTAAGGAACAAATAACACACTTGAAGAAGGCTTCACGCATTTCTGGAATAACATCAGAGGTTCTTATCACCATTCCAGTGACTGTAATTAATTGATCAATATCTTCAGGGTTGAGAAGTCGCATATTCTTGGTCTTAGCGGCATTGAATGGCCGTATTTGAATTTGATGTTCCAATACAGCTGCTGGATATTTTTCGAAAAACATTTCATTCACTGCCATATCCATGATGGGAATCACCTCTTCAGGGTAACATATTAATTGTTTATAAAGTTGTTCATCGAAGGCTTCCAAATGAGCACAATTGATGTTCATATAAGGTTCTTCTAAAGTATGTATCTCATCTAATTTTTGCATGTAAAGAGGCTCCGCTACATTCATATTTTCAGGCAACTCATCGTTTTCTGCATCAGGATCGATATAACGTTGCAGGAATCGTTTGAAATTTTCCTTACACCGTTCAAGGACTACGTTTGTGCCCCAAATCACCAGGAGCGGTCCAGCACCTTCGCTTTCTGATGTTTGAACTTGACCTGGATCTTCTGGAATCTAAAACATAATGTATAAGTCCAGTCTGTGAATAAGTCATAAACATTAGTTTTTTTCTCAAGTTAGATCCATTCATTCCTTGTATTAAATCACCGATTAACTAACTTACTGGTTCAGCAATGTTGACTTGTCTCATGTGCTTGTCCGCCCTAATGTCTGTCCTGTGCCTGACTGGCGTACCTCTGATTCCACTACGTGGAGTACGAACAGATCCCAAGGAACTTGGAGTTCCATAATTTAGAGGAGATGACAGATCAATTTCGGAAACTCCTGCATGTAAAGGACTAGTTTGTAATGCATGGACTGGGGAGGATGCTACCACATTGGCCGGGTCTTCCGAAGAGGCGGAAATAACATTTTGTGTATGCCGACTTCCCCATCGTAATGGAGTATCCGCTGAAACACTTCCAGGACCCTTCTGAGAACTTCCTACAAGATAAATGTATTTATTTAATTTATATAAAAATCACAATTCATGAAAAATATATTAAAAAATGTTACATAGGATCCAAAGACTCTATCTATTATCCGGGTTCTCACCATTTTTACTGGGCGTGGAATTTTTGCTTGGAGTTCCCTGAAGCGACGGAGTCCTGCTGGGAGTTTTTGGATTCCTTCTAGGAGTGCCACTTCTTGAACCGCCGTCCTCTGCCGGTCTCGACGGCGTCCGCGGCCGTCTCATTGGACTTGACATGTCGATTTAAATTACGTCTTACTTCTCTTACGTTTACAATGGCTCTAATCTTATTATTTAGACGGATTGTTTGATTGTCAAGTTCTCAATTTCCATCAACCGTCCTGAACAATTATGAGCATTGTTGATGTATGCATACATATAATTCGGAAACTTTCCCGCGAAAAGCGAACCAAAAACGATTCTAGACAGAGATGAGTTGGGAGATTGCTCACGGGCAGGATCGTGCGATCGCAACCTGTGCTGCCCTCTGGTTTCGTACGTTAGCTTTCACCGTTTTTTGCCCCCAAGGACGGCATAACGAATTTCTGATAGGAGCTCGCGCACTCGCGATGGCGATACCATCTACCAGTCACCGTTGGCGGCTCACGTACTCGCGATGGTAATATCATGCGGCAGTTGACCGTGGTGGCTTACCTACGCTTACCGACACTGCTCGCTTTTGATGGTAAGGGAAGATCACTCGTGACGCTCCATTTGACTTTACTACTTATCCACTACTATTAATGTTGCCTCGAAGTCAACGTGATGCGGAGCTTTGGGGCACACGTCGGTGTCGCGTACGGAACTCTAATGCAGCGAATCTGTGTGAGTGCGATCGCTCCTAGAAATCTTCGCGCGTCCCAACCAGTCAAGCGTCAAACACGGGTCGAGACGTTGAGTATGTGTGCGTTCGGCGCTACACTCGACGAGTATGCGAATACTGCGAAAAATCCTCCCGAGGCTTACTTAACTGTGGATGTAAGCCGAGTCATTTCGCGTATGATTTTTACATTTCCCTACTAGCGTTATCGAACATTTTCAAGCGTTTCTATAGCGCTTTGAACGTTTTCGAACGTTTTCGAGCGTTATCTAGCGTTATCGAGCGTTTTTCGAACGATTTTAGAACGTTTTCGTGTGTTTGCGAGCATTATCGAGCGTTTTTCGACCGTTTTCGAGCGTTTCTCGAACATTTTCAGAGCGTTCTCGAGCGTTTTCACGCATTTTCAGAGCGTTTTCGAGCGTCATAGAGCGTTTTTCGAGTGTTTTCACACGTTTTAGAACTTTTTCGAGCAATGTCGAGCGTTTTTCAAGCGTTTTCGAGCGTCATCGATCGTTTTCGCGCGTTTTTCAAGTGTTTTCGAGCCTAATCGAAGGCCGTACAGTGCCGCTGAGTGTTGTTAAGTGCAGTAGAGTGCCGGAGAGTGCCGGAGAGTTGCGGAAGAGTACCGGAGAGTACTGGAGAGTGCTGGAGAGTTGCCGCAGTGTGCTGGAGAGTGCCGGAGAGTGCCGGAGAGTGCCGGAGAGT